GAAATCTTGCAAAAATCAAAATAAATTGTATTATTGGTTGTAATTGAACGAACCCGATTTGAAAGCACGATCAAACGCCAAACTTTTTATCTTCGTAGTAAGTCTTGAAGCTTAAAATACAATAATTACTTAAGTGTCTACACAATCTTCCTTAGCATCTTACTAATTGATTGGTAATTTTTTGCCAGCGCTAACTAGACAACTTGGCTCGCTTTCAACAAACGAGCTGCTAGATCGAGTTACTCCCTAATTTTCTCTTTGTGTTTGCCGCCGTTTTTGCCGGACCTTGTTAGCGTAGTGTGAATGCCGATAATTATAAGGCTGCGTTCACAATCACCACAATAGAAACAGGCAGAGTAGTGCCAAAATACATTAATAAGTGAAGATTTACATCTAGGAAGTGCGCCGAGTGTGTTTGAAAACCCTTATTTCCATTCCTGGGAATTAGAAGCCAGTCCAAGTGTGTTTGGCTGGACACACTGTAACGTGTAACAGTGTTACTCATTGGGAAAACCCATCAAGTCACCTGTTACTCGTTTGTACATCTGTTTTCCTATCTTTCCAACGGTTCTCTATGTATAATTTAACTGGTAGGCACCAGCTTGACTTGTGATTGCTTAATTTAATTTAAACTACTGCACTGGTTTAACAGGTTCCAGAGTATAAGATATCAGTGTTATCTATACCTACATAATAGCCTAGGTATGCGATTCTACTTCATCATGGTTTTTTCAGCCATCTATGAGGTCAACTGCTAAACACAGTCACATTTCCAGATTGGCCGGTTGGTAGCGGCTTGCATTCAGAGGGCCTAGTCACTAGGCCCACATGCACTAGTAGTGTGAGTTTACACTAACGTCGTCACTAGTGAGCGCGTAAAAAATTTACTTTAAATGTATAACGGATTGTACAGCGGAAACTTTCAAGAACTAAAATTTTCATCCATTTTTCTAACGCGTTCAATGTAAACTCACACTAGGCCCTTGTAGATTCTACTGCATTTAGTTCTAATTACGATTTCGTCGGTCCGCTATGAGTGTTTTATCAAACTTTTAACGAAGCACGTGAACGTAATGGGAAGAGATGGCTCGAGGCGAAAATAAGGATAATATTTATGATATAAGAAGATTTTTTTCCTGTTGCTAACATGAAAAAGATTGCTTATTTTTTAAAATTTAATTTTCACCTTACTACTTGCTTATAAACACCAATAAATTAATAAGCTAACGAGGTGTAAATTTATTGTTTCTCTGTCTACGGAAAGACCGACTAATTCTTTAACTTGTTAATAAAAATTAACACTGCTTTTTCATTCTTACGTAAAGAGCTGTGAGAAGAAACAACCAAACTTCGTTTGTTTTTTAGCAATTTCCTACGTTCGTTACTTTAAAGAACTTATATTTCGGAAATATTTAAAAGGTAAATGACGAGTGATGGGAACTTTCTTGAGATTATTATTACCACTACAGTACTTATTTGTTACTACATAATAATTATACGAGTCATCATCATCATCAACAGCCCTTTACAGTCCACTGCTGGACTATGAGCCTCCTCCACTATAGTGGAGGGTTTTGCCATAATCTCCACGCTTGGCAGGCGGGTTGGAGATCGCAGTTTAAAAGATTGATGTTTTTCAGAGAGCGCTGCTGCCCATTCTCTGTTTGATGTGTAGTCCCTAAGTCGCCTCTTACGACACCCGCGGGAAGAGTAGGGGTTGGTGACAATTGGTGACAAACAAATATACGAGTAATACCTGCTTATTATAATCTACAGCTTCTGCCCGCGATTTCATCCACATGGAATAGATTTTTTTGACTTAGCGTGACGGATGATAATATAATAATAATAGCCTTTAATAGCCTTTTTCGATATATGTATGTGCTATCTAACACTGAAGGAATTTTTCAAATCCGACCTCCTGAGATAGCGCGTTCAAGCAAGCACTCTTCAGCTTTTTAATATTATGTATCTAGTATTATGAGTCTTCCAGTGACTTGGCCCACTTTTAGCTTGGCCCACTGGCCAAGTCGCTGGTTTGAACCTTTAAATATTTTTTCTTCCAGTGACTGGGCACACCTCTAAGACTCTAGAGTAGATTTTTGTTGATTTGGTGTTTATTTTGTTAAAAAAACATTAAAAGTGGGCCCAGTCACTACAAGAAAATTAATTTAAAAATTCAAACCAGCGACTTGGCCCGTCGACCAAGCTAAAAGTGGGCCAAGTCACTGGAAAGCTGTTATATTATATTAACTGTGTTATGTACTATTATAGTTACTACAGAGCATGTAATGCTAATTCGCCTCCCAATACGAGTCGCGAGTGCACCTCATCACCCAGTTCCGAAGCACTCCCGCACTCTGCTGATTGCAGCGGGGCCATTTGCAACGCTATTGCTTGTACACTTCGCTGCACGTTTGTGAAACATTTCCAATTTATTGGCAACGAAGTACAGTGAACATATGTAGTTGAAAAATACTTTAATAATGTTGTTTTTGGGCAAACTAAAAATTTAATTCACTATTTTCGTGACAAAAATTTATTATTTTGGACTTCGAATTAAACGACACATTTGCATTGTGCAAGGACATATCAACCAACCTACATACAAAAATCCAAAGACCATAAGTTTGGTCGTATCGATTAAATTAATCGGTTCCGCGATTAAAAGCGTTGATTGACGATCATGAGACAGCTTAGACCCTTATGCGAGGTTTAGACTAACTTATTGTTAGAAGTTGACTTCCGCAAGTTGTTACCACTGTGTAAATACCTGAGGCAAGCCAACTTCTGCAAGTTTTGCAGCCTGCGGACCTTGCTACAGGTTTTAAGTGTAAACCCCATAATTATTCTATTGAACACGGGTTTCATTTAAATAACGAAAATATCACGTATGTGACATGTTTCCGTGTGTGATTGTACATAACCGGGAAAACGGTCCGGGAACTGGCGCACGTCTTGGTAATTTGAAAGCGTCGCCCTCCTGCCAGAACTCCACAACTTTTCTTTTTCTTGCCACTCCACTTTCCATTTTCATATCGCAGTACCATAGGTTTTATGGTAGTTGTTATGGGACTATGCCTAAGCTTAGTAAGCTTTTACGGGAAATAAATACCAGTAAGTAAGACGAGGAATTTAAAATGCTACCTTTGTGTTGCCTGATGATAGTGTAATAGCAATTGCACTGCCAGTCAAATACTTATTTGCTTAAGAAATTGTAACAGGTATTTATTACTGTTTCGTTTTCCTAAGTTATACTATTGCCCTCGACCTCGCCCGCGTGAACTTTAGCTTAACACGGATCGTTATAAATTAATCTTAAATATTATTCTGATGTATTAACAATAATAATGTAAAGTTTCACCAAAATCCGTTCAGTATTTTTTGCGTGAAAGAGTAAAAAATGCATTCATCCATACAAACTTACGCATTTATATTAATTAGTGGGATTAAATGATGTGTCTTAAAAATCATATAAGGTATAATCGTCTTTACATGCCTCAATAGCTTTGAAAGCCCAAATATCAAACAGATACAGAAGTTCGCTGCACTCAGCTGCATTCCGCGACTGCATCCCTCGGGAGACCTGCGTCTTTGATCTGGCCGGTGCAATATGCAAGAGTAAATAGACCGCTATCTCGCAGTTAGCATAACGTTGTGCTTTGCTGACTGTTGAATTTCTTTTCTGAATTTAAATAGTCTTTGGCGACAGTTTTGTGTAATCAGAAAAATATTTACTTAAGTTACATTCATGCCGTTATAAATATTACTGATAAATAGTTAATTATACATTATCTAAATTTAATGAACTACTACCGTACCCGTTCTACTCGTTCGCTAAAGTATTGGTAATATTTGTATCATTGAAAAACTAGGTAATGGTTTTAAATAATTTGTAGCCTTACACGTCATATTTAACTGTATTTATGGTATTCACTTTTTATCTTGAGATCAAAATAATATTAAAAATGCAAGCAAAGCTGTTTACAATTATTTTAAACCAAATAAAAACTAGGACAATAATGGTTGTAACTATAGAGTAATTTTGATTCATCGTTCAACAGCCCGGCTAGCTCAGTCGGTAGAGCATGAGACTCTTAATCTCAGGGTCGTGGGTTCGAGCCCCACGTTGGGCGCAGCAATTTTTTGCATTCAAATTTTTATTTTGTATACTATTTTATTTTGACCTGTCGCTAAGTAATCTTGCTTTGCTTCACAAATTACATATTATAAAACATTAAAATAATTTAATGTTACCTTTGAGTGAGTATGGATCCGGATGGTGACACAGACATAGTGTAAGCACAAAGTTTAGTGTAAGTGTGCATCCTATACAAAATAGGAAGAAACCTGTAAAAAGATTATAGTAATGAAATAATTGTAAATTATTTTTTTAATTTTTTCATTATTTTATTTTGTTGCTATGATAACTTCAAAATGTGAGTGCACAGTGCCATCTTCCATTTTGATAATGAATTACTCTAAGTGCGTATTAGCGCCATCTATACTCTTTATTTTGTACTAAGTGTTAAAAAAATTACACTCTTGAGAAAGCATTAAACTGAGAGTTAGATTTTAGTTAACAGCAACAGATAGCGCTAGGTATATTTAACTTGAATGAAAATATTACTTGAAATTATTTTAGTAAATCTAAAAAAAACACTTTTGTGTGCTTTTACTGGAAGTAAATTTATCATTAATGATTACTTACAAATCTATTTTGAAATCGAACCCAGAGACCCGAGTTGAGACTAGAGGTAGAGTAGAGAGCCCTCAAACTAACAGCTGGGATAGACTATCCCAGCATCCCTCATCTAGGTTATTCAAACTGGCTGAATTATAATTTTCTTATTAGTCTATCTAGACATTGTTGCATAAGAAGTCTTTTGTGTATGTAAGTAGGTAGGTATTACCAACGCATGCAGTACCTATGTATTTTTAATTGCTCATGACACCACATCTAATGTTTTCTGGCCATAATGATGGCATCACCTTTTTTTTTCTCGGCTTAGGTGTTGTCTTGGTGTACCCTCAGTAATTGCGTTTTCCGCGGCATCATTTAGTGCAATTTGTATTGTTTGTATAAAACCCGCTGACATGCGAGCAGTAGCTTACTGTTTGTGATATCTTCAGTACAACATGATCGGGATTACAACGTTTTGTCTTGCGATTTTCGGTAAGAACTCTTTAGTAGCTATTCATCGTAATTTAAGGAAATATCTTTATCAATTCAGTTATTCCATTACTCTTCACTGGTGTACAATATCAAGCTGGCAAGCTGGCATAAATTCATTGTAAGTTTTTTTGAGGACTCAAATTATAAGAAGATGACGTCATCTTACATGCTTCGTTCTTTTTATTTTTCTTTAAATTTTCCCGATCTGTATTAAGGATACACGTTAACCGGGTTTAAAAATAATAATCAAATATTAATCATCACTACCAACATTAGATCCATCACGTGCATCATTGATAGATCAGTCATTCACGTGTTATAGTGATTAGTTAGCTAATGTTACCTGTCGAATGATGGCTGACAAAACCGCAATCAGTCTTTCGGGGATTTCCTTAATGGGTTAGGTTAATTGCTCAATCTAATTTGTTAAAGCATTACCTAGCTAGAGTCTATTTTCACGTAAATCCTAAGTATACTTATTTGTAAGCTATTTCCTTGATAACTTCCATTAAAATAACAAAACCTCAATGTCAACTCCGAATAGGCTTTCTCCATAGGTGAAGGTTACATTTCATTGTCATTGCCGATATTTGATCGAAGGTGTTAACAATGGGGTTCTATTTTCAGCTATATTCAACTCCGGCCAATGTGTGTCTTCAAAATTGGATTTTGGTAATGAAGAAACTTCTGTTGTAACAAATTCTACAAACACCGAAGATGGGGATGTAGAAGTTAATCATACTATATTAGTATCTACCAGGCTGAAGAATAACAATAGAAGAAGATTCTATGGCGGCGGCGAAGGTATGAAAACATAGGTCGTTTTAAGATACGTAGTTGAGATTGAATAATTTTCATAGACCATAAGAAAGGTCTTATAATAAAGTATCTTATTTAACATTTAGAATACCTACAAAAACAAACAATAATAATCGTGATCAAAATATGGCTAGCAGACTAAAGATCCAATCAGTATTTATGAGTTTATGCATAACAATTTCCGACCTTTATCATTGAAATCAAAGTTCCGATCATTATCCTTTTGTTTTACTTACATAACTTACACGCTGCAGTGAAGTAAACAAAGTGCCTCTTTTATCTTTTTGCATTACAATTGTTTTACGTTGTATTCCCATAAATATAATTCCAGGTGAAGCGGGCGTGTTGTCCTACAACATCGGTCGCAAGCAAAAAGAAGACAGCGGTGAAGTGCCCGTGGTGCTTGGCTTGAAGTCCGTCGACACCACTCAATTAAGGACCCCAGACACACGTCGTAAGGCTCAAATCTACCCTGACTCAGTATTCGTCAGCAGGAACATTCGCGACGACTACGACGTCTTCCCAAATGTAGCTTTGACTCCTTCGCAGTGGAAACCTTCTAGTTTCTTCAACAATATCAATTGGTGGCAGCAGGATGGTAGAGACTTTGAAAGGAGAAACTACAGACCGGTCAACACTAATAAGCTGAATAGGAAAATAGGTGATGACGCAATGAAAGAGTTTTACTGCAAGAAGTGTAGGGAGCTAAGTCAAGATGGCAGAGGGTGTATTCAGCAGAGGAGTAATCCGAATCCGTGGGTTGTGACGACAACACCAAAGATGAAGCTCGATGGTAAATTGGCGAAATTAAACTAATGGGTTCGTCTTATTGTTTTTGTTCATCCCGTGACCGTAGACCGTACTTGGCGTGAGCAAAAACACGATGCTATCGCGCAGCCTTGAGGTGTCGCGCTTGAAGAGCATGTTATAATCAAACGTTTACGGAATGTGCATGAGGAATTATAATTTTCTGGAAAAAACATTACTGCAAGGAAAATAAAATAGTTCTGAGCTTTCATAAGCATGTAAAATTTAATTAGATTTGGATTTTGGAGTGAAATGACTTGAGTATTTACGCGATTCAAAATACAAATTACTTTTACGGTGAGTGATAAAGTTATTTGTTTTAGTTTGTTTATAGTATGAATTATAGTACATATATTATGATTGTACTCCTGTCTGTCAGTTGTAAGGTTCTGCTGACTAATCTAGGCGTCACAGTTAGGTAGAGTTAATGGAAGCCATGAATTTTCTAGAAATAATAATTGTTAGATCTACTAATAAGACTTTTCACATCCAAATTAAATACTGCAGCATCTATTGTAGTAGCAGCTGATATTTTGTAGGGTCCTTAGTGCTGTGGACTGTACTTTATACTTCCACTTCGTGCAGCCCAACACCACTATCGCAAGAATGACGTGGTGTGTATTAATACTGCTAAATTAGTTATGTTAAACTTAAAAACTTATAAAACTAATTTTATTTTTGCAAGTAGGCCTGTAAAAGCACTTTTATACGTCCCTGTACTAACCCTACCACTGCTTCGGGACAATAAATGGCAGTGCTGAGAAGAAGCAGCGCAAGAAACTCAGTCACTCAGTTGATAGGTATTTTTGATAGTAGGTACTTTATACCACGGAACAATGATACCAGAAACAGCTGCTTACAAATTGTGAGTGCCAATGGCTGTTTTATGACTCTTCTAAAAGCAATGTAGGTTATGTATTTAACGTTGTAGGTTCGTATGACTTACAATCGAATAATAATGAGATACTACTTAGAATATCAATATGGAATTTCCGTATTAATTTATAGATTTTGTTAGGTAGGTATACTAAGATCATAAGTAGTAGAAGTGTTTTAAGAGGTTGGTAAAAGTTTGAAATAATATCTCTAGCTCATCCTAGTCAAAAGACCTAAACTGAAAGATGGAATCATTATCGCTTCATTCACGCTTAAATTATCTTTGGCGGGACTCGAACCCACTACCAATTTGGCAGGGCGACTTGAATGAGCCGGCATACCATCAATAAAGAATTTAATAGAAAAGGAGACCAAATAAAACACATCGTACTAAAAATACGTAGTAAGAATTACATCACTTTATTCTGATCAGTTTGTACAAACAACCTGAAAGTCTACATCAATGTACAGATTGATACCGTTGAGATCTAACTGTTAAGAGATAAGGTCGAGTTTAGCTCTCCACCCTGTAGTGGGTGACCTTCCCGTTGTTGTTGACGTATGTCTCGGCTGCCTTGTGGGTCTTCTCCTTGCCGTTGACGTTCGAGGATGACGAAAAGGATGAGGAGGACACGCTGACGTATTTGCCATGTCCAGCTCGCGGGACGTCTTCGCCAAAGCGGGACATTACGTTCACGTTTGGCTCGCTCTGGAATTAAAAATCAAAGTTAGTATCTAAATAATATCTCAAAGGTAACTGACTGACTGACATAGTGATCTATCAACGCACAGCCCAAACCACTGGACGGATCGGGATGAAATTTGACATGCAGGTAGATGTTATAATGACGTAGGCATCCGCTAATAAAGGATTTTACGAAACTCCACCCCTAAGGGGGTAAAACGGGATCCACGCGTACGAAGTCGCGGGCGGTCGCTAGTCGGTACATAAGTATTCACATATCCTTAGCAGCGGCTGCCCGCAACTTCGTACGCGTGTATCCCGTTTTACCCCCTTAGGGATTGAATTTTTGCAAAATCCTGTCTTCTAAAAAATCCCCTATGTAAAATTTGGGACACCTAGCACTTGTTTCTGAGATTTCGTGAGAAGTGAGTCAGTCAGTGACCTTTTGCTTTTATATTTATAGATTCCTATTACTTTAAAATAAAGAATTTTATTTACATCTCTGTAATAAGAAAAGGTCTTTTACAAAGCATACTCGTGCTTGTGATCTATCCGTAAAATGTACCTATACAGAAATAGCTAAGAATATCGTAGCTCTATATTCTTGAAGGGCATCTGCACCTATCGTATAATCGATTGGCAGCCGTAAAGAGGTTTTACAGTATCACGGTTGTATTATACTCGTAAGTATCAAGTTCTTTTCAATACAATAAACTTCATAGTTTATGTGAAAAATATGAAGTTACATTAACTAAATAAGTAGTGGCTCTGGCATACTTCGTGGGCACTCCGGTAAAAAAGCAATAGCTTTAAGCAGTTTCTTGGATCAGCAATTACTGATCTCTTGTAAACAAAATGAGTCATATCACGAATAAAATATAAGCGCAGATAATATAATAAATGGAAGTTTTTTGATCTTTAAATTTAAATATCAAGATAATTTCAAATGTGCATCGTTTATGAGTCAAGCAATGCATGCTCGTCACGTTTGTGCACATTAGGTACTTGTTGCACCTTTGTTGAAGTAAAGTCAGAAAATAAAACCAACCTAGAATAACATAGGTAGGTAATTATAAATAATGATAACAACAATAAATTACATTTTGCTTGAAAGAGTATAAATGAAAAATAAGATTTTCTTATCATCTTATCACCTTCATCATGTTTTCCGTCCACTGAGAAACAGCTAATTTATATGATGAAAATAATTATGATAATAAACACTGAGACTTCCAGCTTCACAGTTGATTTTTTACAATGTAAATTCCAAATTCATTATGTAATGATGAGAAAAGGTCTTACCGGGTTCTCCGGGTTCAAAGCAGCCACCTGGTGCGTGAAGCCCGGGCCAGCCGCGGCGCCGGCGAACGCGCTGTTAGGCCCTATCGGCATCGGCATCTCGAATGGGGGGAAACCACCGAAATTGAAGTTGTTTAACCTGCTGGTGAAATTAGGAATGTAACCGGCTTGGTTCGACGTCAAGTCGAATGCCTTCCTCGCCGCGTTATACGCTAACTTCTGATTCTCAAAATTCGAACTGAACGCCCTGAAACACACGAAGAGTTGACGCACACACGAATACGAGAATAGTATAGAGCGCTGAGAAAGCAGAAGTTTAGAAATTAGTGCTGAAGGGAAAGTGCAGATAGAAGTCGGTTATTTTTGAGAACACCCCTTGGTCACACACACTTCAATAATCTGGGAGGTTACCTTTTGAATGGCCTCAAGGGCTTTAGGCGAGGAAAGAGAGGCTTCAGAGGAGCGAGCGGTGGCAACGGGGGGAGGAATCTTGCAGATCTTTGCAGTGGTGGAAATAAAGGTTCTAACGGTGGCAGGGGTGGAAGAGGTTGAAATGGAATTAGGGGTGGGAGGGGTGGGAGAGGTTTCAGTGGTTCGAAAGGCCTGAATGGCATCAAGCGTTGTAGTGGCTCAAACGGATCGTCATCCTCCCATGTAGATGTGAACGTTCTTCTAAAGCTATAAATCATGATAAAAATAGCCGTTAGTTTATTGTAGCAAATATTTGGAAGTTTTTGTATGGCTTAAATTATGGTAATAAAACATGTACATTGATTAGGTATTGGGGTTCGCAAAATACTCAAATAGATGCAGCAAACGTAGATATTAGAACCTAAAAAATAAAAGTACTTAATATGAAACATGGGGTTTTCGTCTCTAAAATCTACCTAATAAGGCAAGCTCAAGAATACCAAACGCCGACAGGTATAGGCCTTCACCGGAAGCTGTACCTTTACATTAATTGACCTTACTCGTTCAGCAGGGTTTGCAGATTGTTAAAGTATTCGGGGAAAAAATCGTCGTATTGCTGAAAGTTTTGTTGGTATGGGGCAAAGTTTGGCCAGCCTCCGCCGAAGCCTCCTGAGAAGGCTTGAGCGTCTGCAAAGTTTCCCCAAGGGTCTGCGGTGCCCCTGTTTCCTGGGCCGATTGGTTTTCCCTTGGAGGCGTACTCCTTGGCGTCGTCAAGGCCGTAAGTCCCACCGTACCTATTGCCAGCTGAGTCTTGGTACGCATATGCACCTACGCCGGCGGGTGCTGGATCTCCTGGAACAAGATTGAAGTTGTTTGGTAAGTTGACAAAATTATTGATTTCCATATCTTTCATCATCATCATCATTGACAGCCCTTTACAGTCCACTGCTGGACTATGAGCCTCCTCAAATATAGTGGAGGGTTTTTCCATAATCCCCACGCTTGGCAGGTGGGTTGGAGATCCATATCTTTAGCTCTTCAATAAACAGTCGATGGCATCATCTTGACTCTATATTTATGTAGCAAAATAGCACCTGTATTACTACTATTAAAGATGCCACAAAGTTTAACTTCATGTGCTGTCGTTTAATACCGACTGTGCCGGTACCATAATTCATACAGTTGCATGGGCATTGGGCACACCAAGTTCGCTATCGATGCGATAAAGTCACATAAATCTAGTGTTTTAATGTTTTAGACGCAATGAAGCGACACGAAATCGAACCTGTATCAAATTGTCTAGAGACCCTGATTCCTTAATGCCGATATTGTATTCATGTAGTTTTTTACTTAGTAGCAAAGGCAGATACTTAAAGACTTTAGTCAACAGGTCTGTAATTATTCTTTTGAATATGATGATTAATGATGACTAAACTGAGCATTCATGCGCATTTAAAATAACAAAAGAATATAGAGATCACGACAAAACTAAAGAAAACAACTCGAACAACAGTTTTTTATGAGCAATGAGCATAAAAGTCGAGAAAAGTTGTCAAGAGAGTTCCATATTTATTTGTACAGGATATTTTTACAGTCTCATAGAAAAATAGATTCCTTCTAGGATGATAAATATCAGTAGGTACACTATAGGTTCGCTTTTGCTTCGAAAATACCAAAATCATATACGGCGTCGGGTTCGTTCCTCGCCGTCATTAATTGTGGTGAACCCACTCGTAACACAAGTATGTATATTTAGCTCACCTCGAGCGATTAAAGTAAATTATAAAAAAAAATCCTTATAAAAGATATTACTTTTATTAAACGCATTTAAAAGTGAATAAAAACGTTTCCTTTCATTTACTCGTAATGTAACCGAGCCGAGAAAAATATATCAATTAATTACGTCGACTCATTCATTTGTTGCTCATCTTTCATTATGAAGTCATAAAACAAAAAGTTAATGCATCGTGCACTAACTAAATTGCCACCGGCAAAAAACTCACGCGCACCTTACTTTATG